TCTTCCTCTGTGCTAGTATAAACCCTGTGATTGTTTGATAATGGTCTTTTGTGTCTTTGAGTGTCAACACAGTCTGTCTTCTCAGAGAAGATTCTCAGTGCCTGTAAATCACTAATTTGAGCGATGCCAGACAAAAGCTGGTTACAATTTGTTATATCCCTACTGAGGATCTGGTCTTTTCTAAGTACTAATTTATGCAAATTAAATAAAACAAAATAAATTTCATTTTGCAAACCACAATACAGGAAATAGTAAATAATGTAATAATGTAAAATGTAAATAACGTTTCAATGATCTGTTTGATGGTTTGAAGAAGTCATACACGTTCCCTAAGAACATAGTTTCCCAAGCAGAGAGTGCAGGTTTAGCCCCTGCTGTGCTGTTTCTTCTCTCCCCTAGTTCTGTGCTCTGGCTCACTCAGCCTCCTCACTTGTGGAAACAAGAATTAGGGAAATCATTCTATTAAAAGGAAAACAAACTCAACCCAGCTGCCTTTGACAGCATTGTTGTTAATCCATATCAATTTGTTCCGCAGTGGAAGGAGCAGCTGTGGCAGTGTAAGTGATGGGACTGATGGGGGAGTGCAAATGGGGGAGAGGCTAACAGAAAATTCTTTGCATAGTGTTCTCACTGAAGAGCTCACAAAGCCACGTTGTACACACAACACAAACTTTTGAACAGGAGATGTTCTCCTGCACTGGCTTCAAGGCCATTTGTTCCTGTAATCACCAGTTCTAGGCTGATTCTCCAGCTCTGCTAAATTCCTTGTGTGAGGATATGAATATGTGTTTTTGGGGTGACAGGAAATTGCAAATAGAAACCAACTAACCACCAGTCTGTCATTTCAGGAGTGGTAACTTCTTGTTACTTGGTTAACTTGAATTTTGGTCCCACACCCTTTGTTAGAAAGATGCACTAAAAGAATTACTTCTCCTGATGGGCAAGGTGCTATGTAAGTGCATTTTTTCCTAAGATTATTAATTCACACCTCTGGGAAATGTTTATAAGCTAACTATATCTTACTCCTTCAAGTTTATATTCCTGTTGGATTAAAAAGGGTTATGGCAGCTGTGTAGGGACTGATGAGATTATTTATCCATCTCTTGCTGTACTCCTGCTGGACTGAGTGCAGAAATCTGGCAAATGCTGCAATGGAAGATCTTCAAATGAGCAAGGAGTTGGTTCATCAAAGTATAGGTAGTCCTGGAGATGAAAACTTAGCAACTTTTTGCAAGTTACAGAGAACAGCAGATTCATGTGGCTATGTTAATGCCTTAGAGGCATCTCAGGGAAATAAAAAGCTTCTCATGTTGTGATTTTTTTGTTTATATTCTGTGGCTATTTCCCTTGGGCTGTTTCCTGTTGTAACCTAGCAATCCATTGTTACCACTGCTGCCACAAGAGAGCACTTGCTTTACTATTCCTACTCACTTCAACTCGAAGTGTTGTGACACATTGTGCTCTTGTTTGCCTTCTAGCAGGAAATGCTCTTTTTCTTCTGCTTGTGGTTTGGTGTTTTGTTTGTTTGTTTTGGGTTCTTTTGTGTGTGTGAAAGAGAGAGAGATGGGGTTATTTTCACTTGGTTTTGGTTGTTTGGTGCTTTTTTTTTTACTTGCAAAAGCATCTCATACAGAACTGAAAGCTTTGTGTTTCTTATATATTCTAAACTAATGGAATTTCTTTCACCTGTGTTAGGTAAATGGACTGGAGTTTTGTTTTTCCCTTTTGTTGCTGTTGGGTTTGTTGTTTACTATTAGTGGGAGATGACTTGTCGTTGTATTACCTCTCCCTATGCCTTTGGGGTTTGCTGTGATTCTCATTAAAGTCACTGGAGAGATCCTCATTGGCTCTAGTGGTAGCTGTGCTGGGGAGTTGGTCACTACTGGTCAATATAATTGTTACTGATACTGCTTCAATTTCCCAGCACTGATGATGCAGAATTGTGAAGTAGGTCAAGCCTGCTGAGCACACAGTTAGATAGTTGAAACTAATTAGTGTCAGCTAAAGACTTAATCACTAATGAAGAATTTGCATCCGCACCCATATGCAAGCAGAATACTTGACCCCCAGGAGAGTAAAGAAAATGCTAGAATGGCTTGGCTATGTATTTAGTAGTGCAGGATTGTAGAAAGCTTTTGAGATACAGGTTTTCATTATGTGGAGCAAAGGTTGTACAACCCTTATTTTCAAATACCTACATGAGCTGTTAGTCTTTCTAAGTCTGGTGGAGATAGAGTGAGAAATGGTAATTTCTCAGCTCCTTGCAGTCAACAGCAGCAGCAAGTAATGATTCTGGAATGTGTTGAATAAACACATAGCAGTGCAAGGAGCAATACAGATGTTATGTTGTCATGCAGTTATTTTTTTCAGGGTTTTTGTCTCGCATGATATAAATTAATTCATGGCTGATTTTTATACCACTTTTCTAAACATATAAACCAGCTGTATTTTCCTATGTTTTTAATGATGGGATTCTTGCCACCTTCATATGTTTGCTCTGGCAAAACCACAGTGTGATCTTGGCTTCTTAGATATCATCATATGATAACTCCTGTGGTATCTGTTAGGAAATGTGTGTTAAGATTCTGCTCAAGACTAAATCGAGATTAAAAATTTTATGGTTGCTAGAAATGCTCTTTTCTTGTTTTTTTTTTTTCTTTGCCATTCTTTCATTTTATCCTACCACTTTGTTTCTGAATATTTTAATTTTTCCAATGAAAAATATAGATTTTTTTTTCCCCCCTGTGTGGGAATGGGGGAGTGAGGGATGCCCTGCAGGGCAGAGGAGCTGAATGGTGCTGTGGGAGGAAGAAACAGGGCAGGCTGAATGAACCAGCCTGTGAAATATGTGTTCCTAAATGTGATTAAACTTACCTTGAAATGGGATACCTGTGGGCACTGATCACCTTTTCAAATACTGATTTATGTTGTGTCTATTTCAGCGCAGCATTAAACAGCTGTTTGAAATGGATCAGTCTAAACACTGTCTGCTCAGCTTTAGAGGAATAGAAAAGTCACTGAGCAGAGATCCATCTGTAATCTCTGTAGTACTGCAAGAAAGGAAACATACTCAATTGCTTTATTAATTATATAAACGAGCAAGATCAGAGCTGCT